CAGCAGCCCAGTTATGCTCTAATCAACACTGCGGGACCCATTCAGAGGAATCAACTTAAATTCCCATTTACCTTTTAATGTCATTTTATATTTGATCATAAGAAGGTAATGCTTTTATGTATTTACTTTGTTTCCCTCGATCCTGAGAAACTTTTTTATACAACTGATTTTTGTTATTTGTAGTTAAATAAAATGACAAAAATCACATCACCTAGCACTTCTGCTTATCATTGAATTATAAATGTACATGAAAGTAGTTTAGCAGTTATTCTTATGCAAAGTGGATTTTCACTGACAGCTCAAATTTAGCCTTGTTTTAAGCCAAGACGACTATGTTTAGACGTCTGTTAGACATCTTTTAAAAAACAAAAAATGCTTTTTGGGTATTTATAGGAACTAGCCACCAGGAATTTTTTTTTTTATTTTTTATTTTTTTACCATAAACTCATTTCCCTTTACCTGGTTGCTTTCACACCATCATTACTAGGATCTCTGAAGTAACATAAACCAACCAACAGCAAAAAGTCAGTGCTGCATTTAACAAAATCAACAACTTGAGGCTGGAGGAGACTGTGTTGTTATTGTGTATTGTACGTTTCATGCTAATGGAGAAGAAGCATAAACTGTGATTGAAATAACCATAAGGAGGATTACATACTTAGTGCTACATACCTGCTACATAGTGTCATAGCGGCTGAGAAAAAAAAAACAACAGCAGAGAAAAATAACTAGTAAATGGTGCTAGCATTAGCTTTAGTTTGTCTTGTAGTATTTTTTTTATATTGTCATGCGGTTTCATGTCATGGATTCACAAATTCGGTGAACACTTACACTCACTGGCCATTTTAGTAGGTAAACCGGTCCAACTGCTCATTAACGCAAATTTCTAATCAACCAATCACATGGCAGCAACTCAGTGCATTTGGGCATGTAGACATGCTCAAGATGATCTGCTGCAGTTCAAACTGAGCATCAGAATGAGGAATAAAGGTGATTTAAGTCACTTTGAACGTGGCATGGTTGTTGGTGCAGACAGGCTGGTCTGAGTATTTCAGAAACTGCTGATCTGCTGGGATTTTCATGCACAACAATCTCAAGGGTTTATGGTGAATGGTCTGAAAAAGAGAAAATATTGAGTGAGCAGCAGTTTTGTGGGCGCAAATGCCTTGTTTATGCCAGAGGTCAGAGGAGAAGGACCAGACTGGTTTGAGCTGATAGAAAGGCAACAGTAACTCAAATAACCACTTGTTACAGCAGTGATATGCAGAAGATATGCATCTCTGAAAACATAACACGTCAAACCTTGAAGCAGATGGGCTACAGCAGCAGAAGACCACACCAGGTGCCACTCATGTCAATTAAGAACAGAAAACTGAGGCTATAATTCACACAGGCTCACCAAAATTGGACAATAGAAGATTGAAAAAGCATTGCCTGGTCTGATGAGTCTTTATTTCTGCTGCGACATTCGGATGGTAGAGTCAGAATTTGGAATCAACAACATAAAAGCATGGATCCATCCTCCCTTGTATCAGTGGTTCAGGCTGGTGCTGGTGGTGTAATGGCGTAGGAGATATTTTCTTGGCACACTTTGTGCCCATTAGTACCATTTGAGCTTCGTGTCAACACTACAGCCTACCTGAGTATTGTTGCTGACCATGTCTATCCCTTTATGACCACAGTGTACCCATCTTCTGATGGCTACTTCTAGCAGGATAACACGCCATGTCATAAAGCGTGAATCATCTGGTTTCTTGAACATGACAATGAGTTCACTGTGCTTAAATGGCCTCCACAGTCACCAGATCTCAATCCAACAAAGCACCTTTGGTATGTGGTGGAAGGGGAGATTCGCACCATGAATGTGCAGCCGACAAATCTGCAGCAACTGCGTGATGCTATCATGTCAATATGGACCAAAATTTCTGAGGAATATTTCCATTACATTGTTGAATCTATGCCATAAATAATTAAGGCAGTTCTAAAGACAAAAAGGGGTACTATAAGGTACTTAATAAAGTGGCCAGTGAGTGTATGTCTCTATAGTTTTTAATGTGCTGGGTTAGACCCTGTTCTGATGTAGGGACTAATTTAGTTTCCGCCAAATGGTGTTCCTGGAACTAATCTTATCTAAAATCTTAAACAATAGAAAATGTTAGTTTGTGAAGTGCAACGGCATGGCAACAAAGCAAACTGCATGATCAAAAATCACAAATAACACATCTGGAATTTTATAACACACTCAGGTTGGTCAAAATTTTGATTGTTGTTTATAAAGAATTATTTTAATTAGTCTGTTTGTTTCTTTGTTTGTTTGTTGTAATTAAACATTTGATTTTTGTTCTCTACCAATTCAGTGTGACTTTATGAATTCATCAAGAAACAACAAAAAAAAGGTAAAGTTAATTTAATGTGTGCAAACAACTTGAAATACGGAAGCCTTTAGTTATGTTGTATCGTCTCTCTTTTTTGTGTGAGATTTTTCAGCTTAAATTATATAGTGAGTAAATTCACCATTATATGTTCTCCTAACGTATCTCATTTTTCCTTCATTAGGAACACTGGGCTTAGCAGTGATATCCCCAACCACTTTGAATTTGACTTGTGGCTGCCTGCCCGCAGAAGCTGTTTCACATTGTCGACCTCTTAAGGATTTTTCAACTCAGCCAGTTTACTTTTGGTTCTCTGTTCTCTTAATGATCGTTCTTTAAGCTCCATCTGTTGACAGGAAACGTTTCTGATGTTGCGCTATACTAATTGAACAGATTTGGACAGTGATTTGTGCCAGACTCACATCTCAAACTTATCTTCCAGCTCATACTTTTTGTTGACCCTACAATTCAAAAATGGAGGAAAAGGATATACTGTAGGAGCCAATCCAAGACCTAAAGCATTCAGGTATTTCTGAGTTATTTGATCATTTGAGTAGTAAATTGGGTCCATTATTAATTGATTTGGTGTTTTAGTATTTATTAGCTTCATAGTTCTTAAACAAAATAGAAATTGCATAGCATCAGTACATTGTAATTTCTAGAGAGATTTAATTTCCAAAAAAACAAAGACAGGAAAAATTTTTTTGTTTGTTTTAAACTTTATTGCATTAATAGGAAAGTATAAGGATCTTTTAATAACATCCAGCAAATGACTCCAACCAATCTTTGGGCTTGGCACAAGTTTTGCACATACTAACATTTCAAGAGGAAAAAGGCAGCCTCAGTAACTAGTCACTAGTGTTTAGGTTAACTAATAACACTATTTTTTTATTCATTATACACCCAATATCTCCCAAGTGTTAATTGGCACACATATTTTGTGCCACTTACAAACTGAATACAACTGTTTACACTGAATAAAACATCTTAAAAGGACAGTTCACCCAAAAATAGAAAATCTGTCATTATTTATTCACAAAATGTTTGACTTGTGTGGCTTGTTATTTTCTACACAAGACAAGGGGTCTCATTAAATTATAAATTAAACCTGCCAAGATAATTTACTACACACATTTGCATTATTTACATGTTTTCCCCTAATTCACAACAAGTATGTAGTATTTTTTTCTTCTTAAGCTCATTCTAATGTTTATAAATTTAAAGGTTTCTAAATGAACAATCTTGAAAAGTGATTTGCTAATATAAAAATAGAACATTTTATTGTAACTATATATTATTTATATATAATAAATTCTAGAATATATTCAAATATTTTTAATGCAGATTGCATATACAAATCTGTATGAACATGTTTAGTGTACGAGACCCAATTTTTTGTAAAATGTCTGTTTATTTTTATTTACTTATTTACAGTGAAAGTCAGTGGGGTCCAGTACTGCAAGAATGAAAACAATATGTTGTCCTGACTCATTGGGGAAAAAAAAGTCTCTTTCAGCAAAAAGCTGTGCAAAAGCTTCAAATTTCAAAACACAAAAGGCAAAATGACCGGGGTTTTGCCCAACCCTGGAATCCCAAAACCAAAGTTTTAGGCCTTAAAAAGTCTTAAATTTACTGAAACATTGTGTTGTAGGTCTTAATTTTTTTAAGCAAGTGTTAATTTTCCTTTGTTCTTGTATTGCTAGCCAATTTGGCCAAAACCCATTCAATCACCAACAATTCATCTCAATAAAACTTTAAACAATTTATTTAAAAAAGGTAATTTTTAACTATTTATCATAATGGTTTAATTACTTTCCCTACAATATTTATTTTTTAAAAGTGCTTCATGTATTTACTGCTGAGTACATAGACCTACAGATTGTTGTGCTTACATTTTAGTTTATTATAGTTTTTAAAACTTTTATAACAATGTTTATTTTTATTTTAAAGAAAGTTTATATTGAAAAAGTGTATGGATGCAAATAGAGCTTGCTTATATTTACACTTAATAATATTTTGCTTATATATATATATATATATATATATATATATATATATATATATATATATATATATATATATATATATATATATATATATATATATATATATATATATATATATATTAAATATGTATAAAATATTCTATTTTTACATATTAAAATCAAATAAAAACCTTTTACATCTTGGCCATAAAAAATTACTTAGCTTTTAGCCCTTTATGAGTCTAAAATTTCATTCATAATGGTCTTAAAAATATCTTTGAAAGTCCTAAATTTAACTTAGTAAACCCTGCAGAAACCCTGTTATCAGTTATAACACTTTTACCATTATTTGAAAACATACATTTTAATTTTACAATACATATGTTTTAATCATACATATAGCGTACAGCAAATGTATTTTTATTAAATATTTTTTTCTTTAATACTGTCTGTTGAGTTTGTGCTGCTCATCTGCCTTTAGATTTCCAAACTGCTGTGCCATACAACCAACATAATACAATGTTGTAACAATCATGTTTATCTGTTTGATGAAACTGGATGCTTTTTAGTGCTACTCATTAAACATTTCACTTTGAAATCGCAAAAAGCAAATAAATGTTTTCCAATAATGTTGCAATAGACATTTTTTTTTCATGAGCCATAGTTGAGCCTGGTTTAGAAACAACACAAGAGTGAGACTTTTATTTTTGAATGAACTATCCCTTTTCTGCTAACAACAGTGCATTAGGTATGCTGTTTGTGCTTGGCATGACCACCTGCGCATGAACTGCAACTCAAATTTAAATAAATACACAGTGCCACACATTCCTATACTAGGCTAAATAGAGTTATGGCTTTTCTTTACAATTTAACTTCATGGCTGTAAAGATTAAAGATAATCTCATTGCAGTTGTTGCTCTGAGAGAGTTAGTTAAAGAGTATTATAGTTGTGGATGAACTGTTTTTAACTGTCAGTCCAGTGTGGCCCAACACTGCTCAGACCTGTTTGGTACTGATAGGCTGGTTCTCGTGTTGGTGTAGGACTGTGGGTTGAATAGCCAGTGAAATCCCTTTGTGAACGTAATGGAGACCCAGCTTTTCTATGAAACAGAGAGGAATGTGCTCTGTCATGGTGACCAGAACCAGACGGGGAGGTGGAAGCTGAAGATGGCGTGGGTGGCAGTACCCGCTGTGTGGTAAATGTGACAAGGTCGGGTGGTGTTGGATGTGGACGCTGCATGGATGGAGAGTGATGGGAAACCATCGATGCTGCAGAGGCTGTGCTGTTGAAGTGGGCTGTGAAAGGCTGGTATTGCATAGCCTCTACTGTTTGCATGCCATAGCGAGGGTACGGCTGCACTGATGCCCACATATTGCAGTTCAGGGATGGAGCCGGGAGGTCATCCGTACCCACTGCACCCCCTCCTTCTCCCTCCAGGCCTCCGTACATGCATGCCTCTCTAGAGCCTAAAGCCTCATTGCAGTATGGGTGGGACAGCAGGGGGGAATCATAGGAAGGAGGAGAGCGAAAGTAGTGCTCCTCCGAAACTGCAGATGATGTCGTGTCAAGATAGGGTCGTTTGCATCCCAGCTCCAAATGTCTTGGGTTATCTAAAGAAGAGTATTTGAATTTTGGAAATGCATCAGATTTTGTTAATTGAACTTTAAATAAAAAAGGTATTTATCATATAATACGTACATATACATACAGTTAGGTCCATAAATATCTGGACATTGACACAATTCTAACATGTTTGGCTCTATACACGAACACAATCTATTTGAAATCAAACAAACAAAATGACTGCAGACTGTCAGCTTTAATTTGAGCGTATTTACATCCAAATAAGCTGAACAGTTTAGGAATTACAGCAGTTTGCATATATGCCTCCCACTTGTTAAGGGTCCAAAAGTAATTGGATATTTGGCTTCCAAGCTGTTCCATGGCCAGGCGTGTGTTATTCCCTCATTATCCCAATTACAATGAGCAGATAATGCCTAGTTCACACTAGAGGATTTTAAGCCTGATTTGAGCCCGATTTGGAAGTTAACGAGCTCGCCGACAGATCAGGCTATGATCGGGAAGAAATCTGCGGGTGCTCGGCGCTCGCCGCTCTTTATGTGTGAACTACTGAACAACCATCAACGAGGCTCGCTGACGCGTCGCCAACACCTCGCAGACGGAAATCCAACATTCAGCATGCTAAATATTCCAGAGCAGTCAGCCGACTTGACCCCACGTGTGGTTAGATGTCGTGACGAGCTGCAGCCAATGAGAGAGCATATCAGCATGAGCTGAATGCCTGTGTGTTCAGGAGCTCAGCAGAAACATCTGTGATTGGTCAGAATGGGCATCGGTGCACTCGTTTCATTCTGCGTTAGCACAGACATGAGAGTAGGCTATATTAACAGTGGAACTAGAATTGTGTAACTATTAGAATTACCATACTGCTCATTCTGACCGTTCTCATATAAAACGCCATATTGTCACAACATGTTTACATTTAAAGCTTCTATTGAGATAATAAAATTAAGCTTTGAATGTCTGGCATTATATTTAATGACACCATTACCCTAAAAATATATTTTTTTTTTTTGGTATTACAGCCTATAAATATGTAGTTAAGATACTAAAATACTTAAAGGTCTTGGCTTTCATTTTCACTTTCAAACAGGAGCTATTTGGCACAGAATATGCTGTTTTAAAAGATATCTGAAGTAAATTGATGTTTTTGCCATCAGAACGTTTTGTTTATGTTAGCAGGAAGTTGCCAGGCAAGAAAATGCACACATATTTAAAGTCACAGCGAAAAGTATCAGACATGCATGCAGTCATTTTGACCAATATTGTAATGTAATATGGTTTTGTAATAAAAAAATAACAATGTCAGAAAGAAATACACTGATAGTTAGAAAACGGCAGGGTGTTATAAATATGTTAGTTTTATTTCAAAGAGTTATAAAATTACAAAAATTAAAAACTCTCTGTGTATCTATCTACTCGTACCTTGCAGATGAGTGATTAATCTGCTGATAAATCAGCTGATTTGACGATGTTTTTAAATGCTTTCTCCAAAGCTTGAAACGCTGTCAGTGATGTCATCAGCACACAAGCAGCCAATAGTGTTCAGCTTTTTCTGACGACTCCTCCCTCAAATTTTCATTGGCTGTGGTTTGGTAGCTTGAATGAGCTGATGGGGAATGAGTTGTTGTCAGATCATGTAGTGTGTGACCCCCCTCTTGTGGATCGTTCACGGAGTGTTGCGTAGTGTGAACACCACAGACATTAAAAGACACAAAGTCAGGTCATGTAGTGTGAACAGCACAGCGATCTGCTGATGTTTAAAATCCTGTAGTGTAAACTAGGCTTAAGCAGTGAAGCATGGTGGTGGTAGTAACATGCCGTGGGCATGAATGGCTGTCAATAAAACTGGTTTTCTTGTATTAAATTATGATGTGACTGCTGACAAAAGCAGCAGGATAAATTCTGAAGTGTTTCAGGCAATAGACGGCGCTTCACAGTGCAGATGGAGAATCTCCCAAAGCATACTGCAAAAGCAACCAAAGAGTTTTTGAAGGGAAAGAAGGGGAATGTTATGCAATGACCAAGTCAATCACCTGACCTGAATCTGATAAGCTTGCATTTCGCTTGCTGAAGACAAAACTGAAGGGAAAATGCCCCAAGCATTTGGTGATGTCTTTGCATTCCAGACAAAAGATTTGCAACCAAGTATTAAAAAGTGAAAGTGTGATTTATGATCACTATTCTAATTACTTTTGGACCCTTAACAAGTGGGAGGCGCATATGCAAACTGTTGTAATTCTTACAGCATCCACCTGATTTGGATGTAAGTACACTCAAATGAATGCTGACAGACTGCAGTTAAAGCACATTTTGTTTGTTTAATTTCAAATCGATTGTGTTGGAGTATAGAGCCAAAAATGTTAGAATTGTGTCAAAATCCAAATATATATATATATATATATATATATATATATATATATATATATATATATATATATATATATATATATATATATATATATATATATATATACATATATATATATATATATATACGCCCACACACATATATATATATATATATATATATATATGTGTGTGTGTGTGTGTGTGTGTGTGTGTGTGTGTGTGTGTGTGTGTGTGTGTGTGTGTGTGTGTGTGTGTGTGTGTGTATGATATAATGGTGCCTAAAGTACATTTATTTTATTATTTCTAAGCATTTTACATCCTACAAGATAATGTTTAAAATGTTACTTTCTTGTATTTATATTATATTATCAAAAAAAGTATAATTGATCATTCCAAAAGTAATCAAAATGTAAAAAAAAAAAATGTATTGAAAATGAGTACAGGTGATATCAGATATATAAAACCTGTCTAATACTGATACAAATAACCAACAATCTCCATGGTATCAAATGTTGAGCATGCATATTTTGAAGTGTTCGGCAAAAAAAGTTGTTTGCCAAAGCCCTGTACCTCTGTGCTTGAAGCAGTGGTAAAGAAGGCTGGGTTCCCGGCTAGATGTAAAGGAGTTGGAAAGGGCTTCCTGGGAGTCTGAGTTTGGCAAGGGGACACCACTGTCATATTGATAATGAGAAAGCACCTGCGGGTGGCTACTCAGCACACCTGCACTCAGTTTTCCTGACAGATGGCCATGTGAGGAGATAAGCCGCTGCCGGACCATGTTCTTAGAAATCACTGGGTAATCTTTCCTAGGAAAGGGGGCACTTGATGAGTAAGATGTATATTTGGTACTTTATGCTGAATATTTTAAATGATAATCTTACCCTTGAAGTCTAGACACACGCAAATCACCCTCATCACTGCCGCGAAAACCTTTGGCAAAAGGATTGTTCTCAATTTTTAATTGCGTGATCTAAAAAGAAACAAAACAAGTTAGCAATTACAGTGTATTTGTAAACTTAGCAAATGGATTTTGAATGTTATACAATATTGTGTTTTGGGGAGGCTTTAATGGTACCTTATGGTTCTGATAAGATGTAACAGAGATGAAAGCCGTCTCGTGGAAAACATGAGTGCAGTAGGCCGTGTTCTTGGAACCAAAGGCATTGTTCTCATCAGCTTTCACAATGTGTAACCTGGGCTGATATTTGTGCATCGAGTTCAAGATAATCTGTGAACAAAAAAACAAGCCTGCATTAGAATATCAAAAACAAACTGTAATCGGCCTTCGAAAAAAATATTCTCAAGATTTGTATTTATCTATTTATTAGCATTGGACAACATTTACATTTTGTTGCATTGCCAGTAATAATGTCTATTTATTCCTAAAATAACATATGAACATTTCAGTACATTTTTCAGTACAATATTAACCAACTGACAGCATTTTACCTAATCGTTCAAAAGATTTGTAAATGTTTTACAGTCTAGTTTGCAGATACGGTCCTTCAGGACCTTCATTTTTTTTTAGATATTTCCTTGTATTATGATCAATGAGAATGATAACAGCAGCAGATATAGATTCAACAATATTGGCACAGCTCTGCGTACATAAAGAAATATATGTATGCGTGATCCTGCCAAATATTTTAACATAAAAACTGTACGTAAAACACTAATGAGGTTTTTGAAGTACAATGTATATTAATGTGACAGGATTAATAAATATGTCAAGAGGTTATATTCTGCCTTGCATGCAACTAATCCAATTGGATGCTTTGTGTATGTGTGTTTGATCATAGTGTTCCAGCACCAGTCTGGTCGCTGTGTCCATGTGTTCGCTGTTCAGTGAAGCGTTTGGCTAGGGTCATCCCCAACACAGTTCTGTCAGGGCCGATGAGCATCAAGACCTTCCGCTTTGTTGTGTGGATTTGCAGACAGAAAGTGAAGCAGCTCTCTACTTTTTTAACACTCAAACCGCCAGGGGTTTTTGTAGAACTAAAACTGTCAGTGGGTAAAATTTACCCATGCAAATAGCTACTGTTTTGACGGGACATATTATGGCTCTGAATTATGCTACTATCTTAATAATGTAATGTCTGGAGTTATAAATTATTATTTTTTATTTTGCCATCATCTATTATGCTTAGCCGACCCAGAACTAGGCATGGGTCGATAACCGTTTTCAAGGTATACCTTGGTTTGGAAAAGTCAAGGGGCTCTATTTTGACGGTCCATGTGCAGAGCGCAAAATGCAGGGCGCAAACGCTTTCAGGGCGTGTCAGAATGCTTTTTTGCTAATTTAAGGACGGGAAAATCCACTTTGCGCCTTGGCGAATGGTCTAAAAGGGTTGAGTTTATTTTCTTAATGAGTTATAAGTGTGTTTTGAGAATAAACCAATTAAAGTCTCATCTCCCATTCCCTTTAAGAGCCAGCTGCGTCGCACCATAAGCGCATTCGCTATTTACAGAACGTAAAGTAAGTCTAAGTGGAAAAACTGAGCGTTTCACTAGCAAACAGTAAACAGTTTTTTAACAGAAAACTGTTAAACAGAGCATCTACTGAGTGAGAATGAGAGATAATGGATCTACTTTCACTTTCGCTCTTGGATAGGGAAACCTTTACGCACAGACATCAATTAGTATATTTAAATGCGTTAGTTAAGCGCAAAAATTCGTTTCAAAACTATTTCTAAATTCAGTTCTAATTTCCAGCAAACGAATAAATAAACAATAATAACGAATTGTGCTCAAAAACTTAGGATGTAAAAAGTTATATCCTAAAACACATGCTGTGCCCCTTATAGTCTAAAACCTGACAGGGGGGCAAATCAAAGCTTGTTTTTTTAATAAAACAAATTTAAATATGCATATAATAAATAATACTGCTAATAATAATAACATTGTACAAAAGCAAATTGTTATGAATGAACTGAAAACATTTATGTAGGCTACAAAATAATGTTTTGTAATATTTTAATACTTTATATTTATATCCTATATCTATTCTTATTATATCCTATATAAATCCTCAATATTTTAATTTTTTCATATGTAAAGATATTTGCCTATTGCTCTCTTGTGCGTATTAAGCAGTGTGTAAGCGAGGCACAACTCTGCGCTGGAGTATAGACCGGGTTAGTTTTGCTCTAATGAAAAATCTATTATAGTTTCTCAAAATAGCAACGCGCTAGCAGTTAAATGAATAAATGAACAATAATAACGAAGTGTGGTCAAAATACTGAGTTATATCCAAATACACATACTATGCCCCATATGGTCTAAAACCTGACAGGTGGGCAAATCTAAGCTTGTGGGCAAAGCTAAGCTGCTAATAATAATAACATTATACAAAAGCTAATTGTTATAAATAAACTAAAAAAAATAAAGAATTTAGAAATAAAGAAATTTGCATATTGCTGTACACCCTGTCTGTATAAGCAATGTGTAAACCAGGTGCACAACTAACGTGCTCTGCACTGGGCAATAGACCAGCTTTGATCTGATCCATTTGAACCTTCTATTTAAGTTCCTCAAAAGAGCTGATTAGTGATTAGTAAATTATACAAAGGGGCCCCAAAAACCCTGTAGCAACCCCTGAACATTTTTAAAAACTGAGTATTATGCATGCCATCAAGTAGTGGGTAGTTACTTTGTAAAAGACTAAATTTCTAAATGTTGCTAGATGATGTATATTGGACTGTATTCATGATGTCATCTCATTATATAAGACCTTTAAATGTGTTTTCCTTACAATAAAACATTAGCTTCACATCACTTAAAATGAAAAATGTGGAACATGTGGGATTGCATGGTGGCTCAGTAGTTAGCACTGTTGCCTCACAGCAAGAAGGTCACTGGTTCGAGCCCAGCTGGGGCTGTTGGTGTTTCTGTGTGGAGTTTGCATGTTTTCCCAGTGTTGGTGTGGGTTTCCTCCGGGTGCTCTGGTTTTCCCCACAGTCCAAAGACATGCACTATAGGTGAATTAAATAAGCTAAATTGGCCGTAGTGTGTGTGTATGAATGTGAGAGTGTATGGGTGTTTTCCAGCACTGGGTTGTGGCTGGAAGGGCATCTATGTGTAAAACATACAATAGTATCTGGATGCAGCCTTCATGATGCAAGCTGAGACTGCATCACTCAGCGATGCAGTGTCAGACACAATGCACTCAAATGGAGCTTGTGACGTCACTGTGACGGGTAGGGTTAGGGGTGGGGTTAGGTGAGCCCATTAAAAAGCATTGGATGCAGCCCAGATTGCACTGCACCAGATCTGCAGCCAGACCCATCTCAAAACATATGCTGGATAAGTTGGTGGTTCATGCCACTATAGTGACCCCTGATAAATAAAGGGACTAAGCCAAAGAAAAATGAATGAATGAATTATTTTAGACTTTTTTATACTATAAAGTAATTTGAGATAATTGAAATTATTTGGCGTAGTGACATGGAGCTGTAATGCAGTCAAGACCTGACTGGAACTGCTTTGGCTGTGTGTTTATCTAAAAGTGTGACCCCTGTAGTAGTTCTAGTGTCAGGAGAAGTAAGCAGCACTAGTGCACAGAGGCAACCCCAGGTCAATCCCCCGTCCTAGACACAGACAGAAGACCTAGCCAAATGAATGGTTTGAGCGCTTCATTGGGTGAGTGCAGACACATGTGACCTTTGGCTGGTTGGCTGGCTGTTGTCTAGAGGTAATACCATGTGATACGAGCTGCACTGATGCTTTAGATACAGGGATGTGTGCTGTCTGACTATATTAATCAAGCAACTTTGTCAGATCAATGCTGACTCTCAGGTTGGCCCTCTCCTTTCATCTCTCTGTTTTCTTTTATTCTAAGGTCTGTTTGGGGGGTTAGATATGTCATGTGAATTTAAAGCTATAGATGGCCCTGCACTGAGAGAGAAAAATATCTTGTGTGTTCACTGAGAACTTACAAATAATCTTAAGGTGTTTGGTGTCTTTGTGGTGAGTGGCCTAAATGAAATCAAAGTTTGTTCTGTGTCATTTATGGATCAATAAACCAGAGTTTTAAGCTAAAATAATTGGATTTTTTTATTATTATTAAAATATTAATTAATATACTAAATGTCAAGATGTAACCATTAAATAATTTAGGGCCATAAAAAGGTGCACCATAAAAGTTATTTCCACATTTAAAGGGATAGTTTACCCAAAAATGTAACCGTTTACTCATCCCTTAAATGTCTACGAACCTTTATACATTTGTTTCTTCTGTTCAACACAAAAGAGGACATTTTGAAGAAAGCTGAAAACCTGAATCTATTGACTTCCATTGTTGGAAAAATAAATAATATGGAAGTCAATGGTTACATTTTTCCAAAATTCTTATTTTATGTTTAACAGAAGTAAGAAACTCATGAAGCTTTGAGGAAAAAAAAGAAACGCGATTTAATGATGACATAATTTCCATTTTTGGAGATTTTTTTCCTATCACTTCTATCCTTTTTTTGCCAAGATGAGTAAAAAAAAAAAGTTATTGAAATCAATACAAATATGTGTTTTGAGACTTTATAGTGTTACTAATACCTCTCAGAATCTGCTCCATATGAATTTATATTCAGAAAACATGTTGATGAATAGCGTATCCTTCAGATTATTCATAAAATTGTCTTCATTTGCTGTCTAGCTGTGGTGTGTGTTTGGACTGATTTGTGTGTTTTACTCTTGCATGGCTACAGCGGTCTGTGTCAGGCTCTCGTCCAGCCATGGTATCCCTGCTGTTGTGGGCGTCAGTAGAGCTTAGCAGCCTCTTTCTGGGCTCATTACTCGCCCTTATCACTTCATAGGCATTCAACTAGTCCTGACAGGCCAACTTTGTGTCGTTCTGACAGGTTATGAACCTAATGAGCTTGGTTCTGATGTTATTGCAACAGACAAGTCTCCTTTGGGAAGCACTGCCATGGTCAGACTCCTCACCTCTGCTCCACTCTGTTCTCTTACTTTCTCAAGATGACCCTCACCGCAGCTCTCACATGAGGTGTGTTCATTCTTAACCAAAGGGGATGCAGAATTTCTATTCAAACTGAATTAAATGTAAAATGACTAAATTTTGTCAAGATGAATTTGCATTTGTTAATTAAACAACTTTGCTCTAAGGTTCAAAGTGAATGTAGGGTGAAAAATTACTTAATTTCCCAGAATTTATGAATTGTTGAATTTCTTTGAATTTCAGTTTAGTGTAAACACTTCTTTAGCTTCAAATTTCAAGTTATTCTGCATTTTTCCTAAAAAGGCTTCAGAACAAAAAAGCATTTTAATTTTTTAATAGCACAATATTGTTTTCTAGCAAGGGTTATTCATTCTATGTCATTAAATACATTTGCCATGATTTGGAAATTAATTTATTTTCTGAAAATATTCTATATTATGATCAAAATAATATTGTTATTGATGTAACACTTTAGTTTAAGCAACATCTCTCAATATTAACTGGCTTTTTACATTGTTTATTAGTACACTGTAAAACCCAAAAACTTAAGGTAATTCAAACCATTTGGGAAAACAGATTTCAACAAACCATTTAAGTAAAAAAAAAACTAATCCTAATGAATACTGTAAACTTAATTTTTTTGAGTAAACTAAGCAATTTGAGCTCAGTAAAACCTGATAAATAAAGAGAACTCAAACCAATTGAGTACTGAAAAATCCAATGAGTTAAGGCAACACAACACCGTTTGAGGAAACCGATTGCTACAAACCATTTGAGGTAAAAAACTAAATCTATCCATTTATATTGAATTGTTGAGGTACTTAATTAACTCATTACCTTCCACACAGAGTTCAAAACTCTATAAATGAGTAGAATTAACTTTCAGTAAATTATAAGGTAACTACTGTATACTCATTTTATCTGATAAAGTTGACTGTTGGGTTTTACAGTGTACGTATAAAGTACATATTCTGCTTTATCTAAATCTACATCCTAATACCTAAACCTAGATACTACCTTAACTAGTATTAATAAGCAGCATATTATAAGTTATTGGGGCAAAAGTCGTAGTTTTTTAAATACAGAGAATATTTTAAACTAAAGTGTGATCCTTCTTGTAAGTAACATAAAATTATTTTAAAACATGTTATATATATATTTTATAAAACTGTTTAAGGTTTCAGTAAAATGAAAGTGTGAAAATCCATGTGTGATAATTATAATAATTCTATTATTTCAGCAAAGAATGGTAATAAGTGTAAAGGTGTCAAATCAGTGGCGTCACAGTGGCGCGGTGGAAAGCACAAATGCTTCACAGCAAAAAGGTTGCTGGTTCGAATCCCTGCTGGGTCAGTTGATGTTTCAGTGTGGAGTTTGCCTGGGTTTCCTTCGGGTGCTCCGGTTTCCCCCACAGTCCAAAAACGTGGTATAGGTGAATTGAATAAGCTAAATTAGATATATTATATGTGTATAAATGCAAGAGTGTATGGGTGTTTCCCAGTGTTGGGTTGTGGCTAGAAGAGCATCTGCTGCGTAAAACATGTGCTGGATAAGTTAGCGGTTTATTCCGCTGAGGTGACCCCTGATTAATAAAGGTACTAAGCCGAGAAGAAAATTAATGAATGAATGAGTCAAACCAGTGTCATAAATTCCTCTGACTTAGCACTAAACTGGTAATGAGCAACGTAGCTCATTGATTGAGACCCCCTTTTTCTGTGGTCTCTGTCTACTTTTTTGGTGTGCACCAGTTTTTGGATAGCATTGTGCACAATTTTTTGAAATGGACACCACTAACAGAGCAATTACCAAACCAAACCACAGATTTTCTCATCACAATTTTATGGTGCACCACATTTACTTTTTTTCCAAGTGATTTCCAATAGGAATCTATGTGATTGGGATTTTCGAAAGTACCAGGACATTTCCCAATATTTGCTTATTGTTCTGAATGAATTCATTGTGCTAAATAACACAAAATCTGTTGTTTGAAAATTTTTTGCTCACCTTTAATGCCAAAGCTCAAATTTTGGACATGCTGAATTCTCCATTTAGAGAAAATCATGACGTTGTTTACTCACATGTCCAAAAGGATCAAGGTGGTTGTTTGTGAGCTTGAGCTTCTGAAAAGAAACCAATTGTCTCATCCAATGCGCGCCTGTTGCAGGAGAGTCTGGGTGGACATAGAGTCTTCCAGGCATGGCAGGTTCTGCTTTTCCGGCCACCATCCTATGAAAAGAACATTTTAATGATGCAAAAGATCAACAGCAACACTTGCAAATCTTGGTTGTTGGTTTCTTGCAGTGATTTAGCCTCAATCCCTCAAAGTTTATCCTCTGGTATTATAGCTTTCCAGCAGCTCTGACATCATCCCGCAGTAAAACCGTTTTTCAGTATTGTGCAAATTCTATAGGATAAAGCAGAAAAAGCTTTATGCAGAACATCTGTACATTAATGACAGGTTCTGAGCATGTGTGGTTATGTCCATGATATTTTGGGAGTTATTCCCGAAGGTCTGGGGTGGCTGCTTTGACCATAACATCACTGCTAATTGTGTGCCTCAAAGGTGTCGCTGAAGATCTCCAGATCCGATGCTGGCAAATGTTGGAATTCCAGTCTATCCCGCAGATTTTTAAAAAATGGTCATAAAACACTCATTCTCATGACAAAATGTGCAATTGATTGAGATTTGCGTGCCATCGTTATTTTGTTTTCTCCAAGCTGGATACAAGCTGATATGACTTATTAGTGCAGCCAGTTGTTGCATGGGTGGATAGTGCCCATATCTAGTGGCATTGCCAGAGACACAGGGTCACAAAGAGGACAGCATGCACAATCCAGCTGTTTTAAGCCCATTGGTTTTGACAGACTGCCTGCTGTTGGCCTGCAGTAATTAACTGTGTGCTAATGACAATCCACAGCCAGAACTAGCATTGCATAGATAAACTGATGTAGACTGCAAGTTGTTTGCTCAAAAACAAGCCTGTGATTTTAGTTTCCTTCAGTGATGTCCTTTTAAAAAAGCATTCTATTGGATGAATTATCTCAAGACCAAAGATTTAGGCATTGACAACATTATATTTGCTATTGCATAGTATCAAGATAAAGATATTAACAATTATTAAGTAATAAAAAAAGCTTTTTTCAAGGTTTTTTCAGAATTTCTTATTTTGTGTTAAATAGAAGAAAGAATTGCATAAAGGTTTAGAGCCACTTGCAGTAATTGATGACAGATTTTTTTTTTATTTATTTTTTTTTTTATAATTGGCCCTTTAAAAACTGTGCTATGAAGATTGTATGAATTTGTCCTCTCAAATTAAGAACTTAGAAATACAGACTGGAATAGACAGCCAAATATAAAACATGCAAATTTTTGTAATCTGTATGAGTGTTTGTCCAGATGCTTCAAGGCACTACTCATGTCTAATTCAGTCACATTTGTAAATGCGCATTCAAGCTGAAATTTTCCAAGGGCTTTCGAGAATGTCTTCCCGTGCAGAAACCTTAAAGATGAACTGAGGGATATTAAATTTAACTTACCACTTGTTGTCACAGAACTTGTACCGATGATCATCAGCTGGAACAATGTCAGTTAATAGAATGTATTTGGTCTTGGGGTTCATTCCTGTGACTTTAACTTTGTAGCTAGGAAACATCCGCCTAAAGAGAGTGCAAAAATATTTATAAGTATGGTTAAAAATGGCGTAAATAAAGTCAAAACAACTGTTACATGATTGGAATCAAGTAATGAATGAACAAAAATTACTTAAACTCTTAGTTTTTGTAGTTTTATGATTACATGTTTCTGTAAAATGGAATTTTATGAACTTATTTTATAAACTACTAATGACAGTCATAATTGAAGCAAACCTTAGATGAAAATGGAATTGAAAATACCAAACTTAGAAAAGTTAAGAAATCTATATTTTGTGGATAAATCCTTATTTTCAATCACAAGACATTTTTATTCTTAAAAACTCTCAGCTCTAAATGACAGATTTGACATAAAATGGGAATAAATATAGAATAAGACAAATATTAGAATAAAACTACTATAAAAGACTAGGGATTCTCAACCTTTGGGCCTCAGCAATCCTGCAGGTAGGCCGGGAGATAGCTTAAAATTAACAAACTTTCTCGTGTTCTGTGATTACTTTAAACTTGGGGCAAAAACGTACAGCCTCATGATCGCGTCTGCGACTAATAGTTCATTCACAAACTATGCGTGAAGTGAAAGTCTCTCTTTGTGTATATTTGGGAATAATTTAATACATGAGCATTTTAAACAAACATTTTTTGTGCAAAATTTCAGACAAGTGGGCCTTCAAAATTTGATTGGAAAAAAAAGGTGGCCCCAATGTGAAAAATGTTGAGAACCCCTGTTATAGACCATTTTGAGGGATGTAAACAACAAAAATGGCCCTGGTGTATTTCCTGTTTTACATTTTAAATTTATATAGCTTCTGAGAGTCTAAAAAGCTCCACATGTTAATAAATAAAGTAACGATAGCTGTTATAACATCAAGTTATGATTTAATAGCCTCTTGTTACATATATGAAATAGTTTGCCTACAAGCAGGAAATGTTTATGGGCCAATAACATCACGATATTAAAATGGTCTATAGAATAAAACAAGTATTAACAAACTTCAAATAATATGTAATCAGTCCAGTAAATCTGGAACAAAACAATTTCTACATACATTTAAACACCAACCCCCCACTAATCTACAATAACAATAATTATTATATATTTTTAATTAGATTAGACAAGTTCTTGCAGCCATCCATCAGAAACTGTGTGGGTTAAATTAGTAAAATTTTATTTTAATACTTTTAATGTGATTATTCATTTTATTTACAAACTACTTTGGTTTTGTCCTTAAACGCCATTTAGATCTAACTAAAACTTGGTGTTAATGCGCTTTTGTGCTCACAAAGGTCATTCTCCTTCAATCGCATCTACGCAGTCTTATCCCATTTGTGTCATTCAGGTATCTCAGTGCTTTCTTTATTGCTTATTACAGGAACAGCTTTTTCTTTCGAGAGACTTAGAGCTGGGGTGCGTGTGCAACAGCTGAGCACTGACAGTAAGCATGGATGAGACTGTCTTATCGGCTCTTTTGAGGGTTTTAACGGGCCTTAAGTGCAAGAGAATCACGGCAAGTGTTGGTTTTGGATGGATGAGTACACGATTAGTGATCAGATAACAGCTTAACCTGTTTTTAGGACAGATTAGTTGTTTAAGAAGCACAAAAGGTCACTGGAGTCTCAAAGAAGGCTGCGTGCTCGAGCATCTGAGACAATCCTCTTCATAACATATCACACAAATGGCTCTACTATAAAAGGATATGCTTCAAAAAAAAATCATAAAACCAAAAGCATAAAATGTTATCCTCGGCAACCCCATATAAGGAGGAACGACCTGTACCTGGTACTGATTTGCTTTCACGAAGATAAATTTTTAGGGATTGACTCTGATTTGAAAGAGCCGCTCTATAAAATGTGGGATCTTCGTTTTGTTCAGATACAGGAGAAGCCAAGATGACAGACAGAATATGCTAATATAGCAGACTCAGTCGTAAAACATATCAATAGAGCTGCTTTCGGTGACCTTTTCATGTGAATGATACCAAAACTGTCTTTCTTTTATCTCATCAGCAAAGCTGCAAAAAGATCGAGATCCCTTATAAACTCTGAGTGCTTTTTTAATGGCAGGACTTTTAAACAGGGGGCAGCTAAACAGCCCCCTTCCCGCACCCCACTTCTCCAAAAAAGTTCCACTGTAGTGGTTTTAGGCTTTCTAAAGGGTTCCACCAGCCGTCATACATTTATTATGGGTAAAAAAAAAAAAGTGCCTTAAGCTGAATCGTTTCATTGCATTTCCAAATGCGGAGCTGCTCAGGCCTGCACTATGTAAAAAGTGGCCCTGCAAGCACTTGCTCTAATGCCCAGAGGAAGAGCTCAGAGAAAGGTAAAGCTCCATGTCTGGCCCAGTCGTGCAATCCAATCAATGTAAATCACTCTGGGCAAGAGACTCCTGTAGAGGTGCTTTAAACCATCAGGAGCATCTTAAACAAACCTGTCCTCCAGCCTATGTTCTGGTGAGGTGCTGTTTCGCTGTCTTTCTGTTAACAACTACAAAAACTGACCACCTTTCGGAACCCTAAATTTTAGAGTGTATGCTGTTGGTTTCAATTTTTTAGGTTTCATCTGTTATTATACAGGAACTACATCAGTTTTAATCTTTATATTATATTATATTATATTATATTATATTATATTATATTATATTATATTATATTATATTATATATTTTTTTCTTTTCGGCTTAGCTCTTATTTATCAGTGGTCACCACAGTGAAATAAACCGCCAACTTCTCATATGTTTACGCAGCGGATGCCTATCCAGTCGTATCCCAACAATGGGAAATATATTATATTATATTATATTATATTATATTATATTATATTATATTATATTATATTATATTATATTATATTATATTATATTATATTATATTATATTATATTATATAAAACACATTTATTAATGTTAATGATAATTTCAGCATCTCCTTTTCTATTACTAAAAAACCTCAGCTTACATGACAATTAAGTAATTTTTATGAACTATTTTACAGTGATTTTGTTACACATACTGTACATATTTTTGTAATAATAGTAGCAACTCAGTCCTGATTGACATTTATATATCATAGTAATTACATAAACTGGATATCAACATGGCACTATTCTTGAACCTACTCCTAAACCTAACCTTAACCCATTATAACCTAGTTATCTTATATAAACCAGTGCTTTCTAGTAGACTGTAAGTTCACATGAAGTACATGTACAGTACTGAAAATTGTAGTGTGAAGCCACAGTAAAACTAAATGAATAATTACAATCAAATAACCTAGGCTAAACTTTTTTTTTTGTACCTATCCCAAACTCAAAAAAAGTTTGTTAATGTTGTTAATTAATTTATTCTGTCCTCAATTGTGTGACACCATATTCATTTACTTTTTTCTTACTATGGATGTTAATGACTTCTGGTTTACCACATTTTTCAAAAGATATTTTGCTTTAAGTCCAACAGAAAGAAAAAAAGAAACTCATAAAGAGAATTTCCATTTTTGAAATAACTGTCCTTTCACCTTTATGGTACATATTGCATTAACTAAATAAAAACCTAAATGCAACCTAAATGTTACCTCAGTATTACATTAAGCATTACAAGGGTTTGTACTTTTATGTACTGAACATTTATTTTCAAAATATTCAAATCTATCTAAAATGAATTATTCATGTTAAGAAAATACAGTTAAGGAAAAATGACTTCAGCAGTACAGTACTAACAGTGAGGATGTAATAAATCTTGAGTAAAACTCATTTACTCAAGACTTAGATGTAAACACTTGAGGGATATGTAATGCTCTTTCCATTTATGCAACACTTTTGACATACGTAATGGCTGCCACAGTAGATCACGTGGCATGTCTGAAGGGGCTTTACAGTAGCTCTGTTACAGTACTCTGGTGCTGTAGGCGGTTATATTAGAATGTCTTCCTAGTGAAAATCACTCAATTGGAACAACAGGAGGGTGTGGAAAATTGTAATTTTTTGGTATATACAGTTGAAGTCAGAATTATTAGACCCCCCTGAATTATTAGCCCTGTTTATTCCCCCCACCCCCAACCCCCCATTTCTGTTTAACAGAGACCCGATATATCTGTTTAATAAATCTGTTTTGTTTAAATGCACCAAAATACAATGTCTATATTCACTGAGAAGTGGATAAAAATATTAATTTTCAAGATGGGGTGTACTTAATTATGCAGAGCACTGTATGTCAGTGAGCTCCAGATATATCTGGATTGTTAGTGTTGGTTAATGTTCTACAGAAGAAATGTATACATGTTTGGGATGACATAAAGCCACAGTTTAGGTGTTTTTTTACTATTTTTAATATGATGTCATGCCTAACCATAACTATATCAGTTGGGTCCAATATTACTTGGACTTTCCTCTAGCATTTTCCTATCTTTTTTTCTGCAGTGGAAAGTTATACATGTTTGTGGTGTGACATTATTTTGTTATTTATAACATGTCAAGTTTCTTTAGATATCATGACAATATGTATGGGAGTGAAATTTCTTTCATGAAGACATGATTAATTTTCTCAGTTATCTCCGTAAAAGCACCGTTTATATGTGTGTATATATGTGAGGGTGACAGTGAGAAACTATTAAAGAATGATAACGGTGTCAGCATTTGCGTTATTCCAGCTGTTTCTTTTAGAGCTCTCACACGTCTGCTCTTTCCGTGATTCATGCTAACTAAGAGAGCCGACAGACCGCTTGGATCAAAAGAAGCTCAATGATTAAGCAAAAGGGGTCCTTTAGGGCCTGTGAGATGCGATCGAACGGGCCTCTGTGTTTTTCTCATGAGCCTCACTGATGCTTACTTTTTGACGGGCTGTGTACAAGTAACACCAGCCGGCAGCTTTCAATAGTCATGCTTAGTGCTTAGAACTTAGTCCAGTTTGATCACTTTTTGTTTAGAGGAATATTCTTGAAAATCATTTACATTGGTAAAATTTGAAAGGATTTAACAGCAGAAATATGAAATTTTATTAATGTACTGCATTTTTCTTTGAAAACTTGTGCTGTAAAGCTGTTTAAATGATCACTTTTATATTAAGGTTATTTTGTCCTGTCAACAAAGTTCTTAAATAAATGTAATTTTACATGGAAAAGGGGAATGAGCTTTTTCTTTTTTCAAACACATCGCACAGTATTTGTTTTGTTGTGAAACTATTGAAACAGTATTTTTATTTTCATGAAATGCCCATGCATTCTGTAACCAAGTGGAAATTAATTTCTTTGTTAGTCAGTATTATGCCACAAATGCTGCTGACTGATCTTAACTTGTACTGAAGTCAGAATAATTCTTTAGCACTATGCATGACCCACTTTCTCTGCATGGAAAGTAGAGCTTGTTGCAAAACTAGGGGATTGTTTTGCATTTTATGCTAATCTAAATTGATTTAAATTTAGCGTTCAGTTCTTATACATTTAAAATGTCAATTTATGTTCTTTCATGTAGTTTTTTTATGGAATTACAGAAGCAAACTGCTGTCATAAACAATACAGCATGCAATGAACTTCATTTAAATGCTGTATTCCTCTTTTATGAGTGTATTCTTCTTCAGCTTCCTTCACAGTCAAACGGCATATACCGTACAGACTTGGCTCAATCCCGCTGTGTAACACAAAACCACGATGAGAATCATTGCATGAAATTGGCCTCAATTTTGTGTAATGGGAGCCATCGTGAAGAAACCTGGCAAGTTTTCTCAAGATTTACAGTTCAGTGAATGGCTGTCTAATGCCCTACAAGTCAAATCACTCCCCAAAAAGAAAATGAAACGGTGAAAAGCTCTTCCTGCTTCATGGCTCGATTGACATATTGAGCATCTTTAACAGAGCCTGGTGTCCATTATACACTAAAGTATGTAAAATGAAATGAGCCCATCTGTTGTTGGGACTGTGAGGAAGTACAGTCTCCTGTTCTGCGCGCAGCTGTCTGACTGAACAGTGCTTGGCTCTTCAAAGGGTTTTAGGATTCTTGGAACACTTTATCAGTTGGACAGGGGGAAGCCCATCCCTCACAATGTTACAGCATTAAAGAAAAATTGTGGTGACCTTTTGCATTTTCTGCAGAGAAATGCTGAGAAACTGCTGCCTAAGACTGGCAGAGAGCATTGACTCTTCTCTGCTTAATATCCAGGGTCCTGCTCTTAATCCACAGGGCACATTAAATCTAACACACCGGGCAGCTGTTTGTGTTTTCAATTAGATATTTTGTAGGCACAGGAATTCAGCTTTGCTTTACTCCGGTCGCATAATATTTTATAAACATTCCACAAGAAGCGACTTAGTATTTCATGCGACTGAGGCTTTTGGTAAAACAAAGTTTTACATTTGCGTTTCTTACTGGAAGCGAGATGGCCTAGTTATGTTTGCACTACCATTTTCTCTGTGTGTGTCTCTAAGCGAATGGGTGGATGAAAATGGCGCTCTTCTTGCCTGCCTGCTTTGGTGATGATCATCTCGGTTCCAGCCTCGTGAAACTTCTTCCATAATTCCCTGTCATGAAGAACCACTTTGATGTTTTCAATGCTCTGAAGGTGCACACAGACAAAAAAGAAAAATCATAATGAGTCATTGTCGGTGGAATCAAACTTAATGTTGTTTAACATCTATTCACAGATACCCTACATGGCAAGAGCCATTGAAAGCATGCCACTGATTGCCTACCTGGTCAGGTTCATTGTTCTGGGGATTGCTGGGAGTTGTAGGCAGGCCCAGATGTGAGGAATCGCTGGCCAGCTCAGGACGCCCACCCGACTGGGCAACGGTCATTCCTTCATCAGCCACAACTGAGGCCTTCTCCTGAAGCATTTCTGTAAGTTTATCCAAATATTAGTTCAATGAGGGGTTAAAAATTTCAATTCATAAAGATTGGGATTTCCATTTTTCTCAGGATATCCATGCATCATCTCAATTTTATTTTACATGGAAGTACAACTTTCAAAAAGAGAAAAGTTAAATAATTACTTTAAGATTAGGATTTTAAGGAGATAAAACAATTTAAATAATAAATACATTCAAAAAGTAAAATTAATTAGAATTTATTTATTTAGCATAATTGAGTACACCCTAATTTGAAAATGAATATTTGTATCAATTTTTCAGGGAATATAGGCAATGTATTTTGGTGCATTTAAACAAAACTGATTTATTCAACAGATATATATTTTTTAAATAATATTTAAGTCACTAAACATATTTAGAAATTGAAAGAGAATTCAATTAAATTCAAGCTTAATATTGCAAAACAAATTACTACCAAAATTTCAGCCAAATATTTTAATTTTTTGTTTCTCTTATAATATAATATTGTAGAGCTTCCTATTACAAAGAATTCATTTAAAATATAGTTTTGTGAGGGGTGTACTTATATATACAGAACACTGTTTATACTAATTTGACATTCTATGTAGAAGGGCATTTCACAAAATCATTTTCCGCCATGTTTTTATTTTATTTTTTTTTATAGACAAAAAATTATAATAATTAATTGCATATTCAAATATTTTAACAGTATTAAATTTTGATAATTTTAAATCATTTTCAAATGTCATGTATTATTGCACATATTAAAATATATGTTCCAAAATGGGACAACACGACCTTAACCCAAATAATTTTGCTTTGATTTAAATTCAGGTACTTTACCATGAAATTAAAGTTCAAAAGTGAAAGAAACCAATAGTGTAGTTTTATCACAAGCTTAAAAAGTGCCTAACGATATATGTATAATGAAAATACCACACATGCCACAGTTCCTCTTTGTTCTCTCAAAGTCCGCTGTAATTGATTATATACACCCAGACAAGACATTGGCTGCAAAATTTGAGAAATAGCATGCATTAACATTTACATTTTGTGAGGGGAATGTCTGTCCTCATAACACAGCCCGGCCTATTCATTTCAAGGAAAAGGGGTTGAGATCCGTTTGTTCTGAAGTATCGCAAGATTAAATATTTACACTTCCAGCATTTGGGCACCTCGGTTTTATGGAAGCGTGCTAAACACTGCTGATTCCATTAAGGGAGGTCACAAACTTAGCCCCGCTCTCACGCCCCTTCTCAGACATCACACCAAAGGTATGTCTCATTACTGTACTCCAGCACGAAGCTGCCTATCTGCACAGCGGACACCAAAAAACTCTCTCATGGTGAAAGCCACCTCCTCCCACCCTCTCCTAATCTCACGCATGTAAACAATGTGAGTGTGCGCCCTTCAGATAAAAGGAGAAGAGCGGGATTCCGTGTAAACTCGGCCAGGCATTCGCCAAAGCTAATAAAGATAAAGTCTGACAGGCACCGTGAGGCTACAGCAACTCAACCCTGGACTTTTCCAGTCCAAAATGTGCCTTTCACTTACGCTGTTTAACTAAGCCCAGTGAGCGAGAGCTCTGTTTACATCTCTGTCACCCCAGACATATAATCCGCTAAACTATTCCTGGCAGATACTGCTCTGTGCACACTGGGGTTGGCTGGTTATTTCCAGAACGTGTTGTCCAAAATGTTCAACGCCGACCAAACTTTTTATGGAATGAAATATTACATATACAGTTGTTTGAGGATGAGATGCAATATATTGGCCATGCTTTTGTGGTCAGAATGAATTGAAATACCTTATGGAAAACTTGAAAACATTTTCAGGTAGTTTTCAGAGGGGATCTATCATGGATCTGGTTTTGTTATACAGTTATGATGCTTGTTGTCTGCCATTTTGTTTTAGACTAGAGTGGATGCTGTGTGAGATAGAGAAAGGCCTGTTCCCTGCAAAGACAGTCAGGCTCGGTTTTTCTGTCTATGTGACTACATTAAGGTTGGTAAAGTAAACTCATCTTATCCAATACAGTAGGTTTTGTTGTATATATGCCTTATTTTCAGCACATTATATTTGGTAAAGTAAACTCTCCTTTTCAAAAAATGTGTGTAGGTCCTATTGTATATAGGCCTTATTTTCAGCACATGTTTGGTAAAGTAAACTCTTCTTTACTGTATATTAGGCAAATTTCTTTCCTCTGATTAAAATGCCCTTGATATTTTATCAGGTTACTAAGATTAATGTATTGTATTTGGTCTCTTTGCTGCACCAGTACTTAAATAGTTTTCTAAACCCTACATGTTATGAGATTTGTTATGAGCCACTAGACGATTTTGTATTCTAATTATAATGTTTTTTTCTCTGACAGTCTTAAAAACAGGTCACATAAGGGTGTTTTGGGTACAATGCCAGAGAAGAGCCATTTTGAGTTCCAAAAAAAAAAAAAAACTTTTCAGTTCTTTATAAGCTTGGAAGGGAAAACAATTTTAAAATAAAAATATCAAGAACAAATGGTCTGCTACAAAAACCTTGAATTGAATGTGTCATGAATATTAAAGATTATTGTGGAACCACATGTCAACAAAGAATGTTTTTAATAAGTGATTTGATAGACAATATTATTATTGCTGTAGACTGAAAAATGGTTCATTTTAAAATGTTACAAACAATAAGCTAATTATCCTAAAACAAATTAGTAAATCCAATAAGTATTTTTTATTTTTCATTGTTTTTATCCAACTTTTACGTAGCTACATCGAATTTTCGTTGTTATACTGACAAGTGCAACAAATAGAAAATTAATTATTAATCATAGATGTTGTTTATTGAATTATTTAATTTGTGTAGTGATACATGCCTGAAAATTATTTATTCATGAGGAAAACAAATTAATGTTTTTCTCCGGCCTAAAAATAAGGAACCAAAAAACGTTTATTTAAACAAACTGAAGTTTAAAATACTACATTGTGCCTACTTTTGCAAGCCACTTTTGTTTGATCATCAAGATATATTTCGTTTGCATATTAGCGTCTAAAACATTTATTTGTTTGTCAGCGTTTACCAAACATTGTGCTGTTGCCATCCGAACGAATCAAGCTGATGCTTTGAGGCCTTAGGCGTACCTCCCTCCATCCATCGCGGCAAAAGGGATGACACGAACAAAAAGTAACTATATTTTGCTAAAATCAAATATAATCTTCTAACAACTCATTAAAAAAATAGCAAAAACTCATATACAGGCCGCAGTGCTTTCTGTTGGTACAGCCTGGTCCAGATTTACACACAGCAGCGATCATATTTTAGCATAAACAGTAAATCGTACACCAGATCATATTTACAAGCAATTTTGACAATGCAAAATGATTACAACTGTATGCTCTTTTAAATAGTAAACTTAAAGAAAACCGACTGACTAGTCTACTATTATTCTACTATATACTGTTTACTACGATCTTAAGACAATGTTAAAGAAAAGTGTAGCCAAGGTTTTATTTATGAAGGACTGACGCCTTCTCGTTGATCACTTAATTTGATAAAGAAGGATAGATCAACTGCGTCTAATCGCATTACCGCCCTCCTAGCACACATATAAGTGTGGGTTCAGTCCGGTACAAGGATTTCAGGGCAGCATGATATGACCTACTGAAAACAAATTGTAATGTTACCTCATAAAATATTATGCTCTGAAATCCTCCATATCATTCCAGAACGCAGTAATTTGTCCACTTCGGCATTACAGCAGGAAGTTACGTCCCGGTGTGGCGTTGAGTCCAGTGCACTGGTAGCTGCTCAGCATCCCCTGTATCTGATCATGAGCTAACAGAGCTGTCTCTTCCCAAGAGTCTGCTTCTGTTCAAATAGCGCCGCGAGCCCCGTGCTTACAACGGTGAGTGTTCGTCTCAGAGGCAAATAGCCACTACGTGATGTTTTCTTGGAAACGGGGTATCCGTTGAACAGCTTGAATTGTTAAAACACTGGGGTGAATATCTTGGCTCATTCACTCAATTCCCTCCTTCCCCCCAGCGCCTCATCGCTGACGTTGCTTCAATAACACCAAACCCGAAACAACCCGATGCTCAGAGTTCACTCACACGACTCCAAACGAGCGCTCATCTCACGAGAAAAGCAAGTCTGTTCGTCGTAAAACATGAGTTGTAGCCTTTTTCTCGACCCCACATTAATAGTTTAAAACGTAGGTAAATTTCTCTAGTGTTAGGTTAAAAAAGGTAAAATAAGAACATTTGAAATTGTGATTTTATTTAGTACGGCGAGAAATTAAGTTTCATGCACCTTAGGGAGCTTTAAAATTAAATATTATTTATATTAAGTATTTTTTTTAAAACGGATTCTACATTGTATGGTATTCCTCACCCAGGTTTAGGCTAAACATTAGGTTATAAGCCTATACATATTTGCATTTTCCACCCCAAAAAGTAGTATTTATTATTGCAGTTCGGATTTTTTTTAAATCTGTCAGTCAGTATGTCTTTATACTGTCGCGTCAAACATTATAGACAATTGTTTAATTTTTCCAAATAAATAAAAAGGCAAATTTTTATTTAAATTAGCTCTAAATGCAAATAAGTCCATCCCTATGACAATTTGATGATGTAAAATATTTAATCCTAAGATTTTACATCATCATCTGCATAAGTTTAATTTGTCGTCATTTCGATTTACCATTTATTAAGAATTTGAATCCTGCAATAATATTTTCTCTCTCTTTCTATGTGTAGTGTGTACTAATTGTAGGAAGTGCCATATCTGTTCATCCAAATAATATGATTGTTTTCAAACAAACATCATCATCACACAATATATAGCATCAGACATTATACTAAAATCCACCTGATTAGATCTTTCTTTCTTTGTTTTTCATTTGTGATAAATATTTGAACAGGAATTCATTGTAGTTTCAAATTAGACAAAGGCGATTAATTAAAAAATCACCCTATTTTGACACAAACTGGTTGAGTGTCAGTCATGCGGGTTTTTTACCTTTATTTCACGATATGTCAATGTCAATCAATTTTGCTGTTTAAAAAGCTTCAAATTTTCGCTTATTTGTCCCGCTTGTTTAGGCCAATGCTCTCATGTTTAAATTTTGAAATCTGCTGAGGATTTCGTTTAAACGTCTTTGTATTTTCAGTGAAATATGGTTGCGGTTTTAAAGTAAATGGGTCGAAGCACGAGGCTGAAAGATCAATAAATCACCTGGAGGAGTTCGAGGGCCGTGGGAGCCTTGACTTATATCTACTGATGACATGACCAAATGAATGGCAGCAGCCAGAATAGCCGATGTCCTTTTCAGACCCGTTTGTCATTCCCGCCAATGTAGATTTCCAAACGGGTCATGTTATCAGATAAGAATAAACAGGAATATGGAAAGGCGGTTTTCTGTTGTTTATTATTATTATTATTATTATTATTATTATTATTATTATTATTATTATTATTATTATAAATTCCACAATTATTTTTATATAGGCCTTAGTCATGGGTGTAATGATGTGCATTTGGTTTGTTTGTTTTGCCTTGTTATTGACTAAATTGAAAGCAAATCGAGTAGAACGCAGTGGCTAAGCTTAGTATGTTCTTAGCCTAAGTATACATTTAAAACATTATTTAAAGCAGAATGTTATTTAAAGCAGAATATTATTAAAATAAATAATTTAAAGCAGAATGTTATTAAAATACATTATTAAATAAGCATTTCAATCAGACTAATTTTTCTTTCTGTGGAGAGTAAACTTCATTAATATTGTAGCCAATCCTTTAGATGTGATCTGTAAAATATAATATTATCTAGAAATAATATTAACAAAGGCATATAGTAATAATAATAATAATAATAATAACGGACCATATTTTTCAAATACAACCTGTTTTCGGTATATTTAGCCTATATGTTGTTGTGTCCTCTTTAATGTTTGCTGTCAAACACAGGCAATGGATCGTCCCACTATAAAATACTTGTGTAAAAAAAAACAATAATTTTAAACTTAATTATTTTAATGCAACATTTTAAGCCATACAAAAAAACAATTATATGATGCTAACCAAATCTTAAAATGTCTTATAATTTTTACGTGAAGGCCAAACTGATTTATTTATAAGTATTTATTTATAAACTATTTATTTATAAGACTCAAATAAGTGAAACAACACTTTTTTTTGATGTTGTTGTTAATGGACTATACCAAAATTGGCTATGTAATTAGCCTATATACCATTTATATAAAAGAAGTATCTCGACACCAGACCACATTAATTGTTCAGTACAATGTAATAAAATGTAATTCTTGAACTTTTCTTCACGGTTCTCTAATTCCTCTGCTTATCTCGACAACCTGTCATAGAGTAAGCTAGAAACAAAATAAAGTGCTTAATATTTGTATTACTCCACAAATAATGCCGCCTAAGGCCTAATTCTGGAAACACCATTCTCAGGAGGAATAATAGTAATTTTAGGCAGTAATAATTTGTTGAAACCCTCGTGTATTCAACGTTATCACACGTGATTGAAAATAATTGGTCTTACCTCCACCTCACTGATCTCGGTACACCTTCTGTGTGTGTGAACCTCAGGATGAGACTCGCTTTCTTGGGGATCCTCAAGCAGGCACGTTATACCTTAGCGTGCTATATAAGATGTCGCTATAAAAGGGATGATTTTTTATAGGGGATGAATTGAGCTGCCTTTCTGAAAGGGAATTTAAACTTCACTCACTCCCACCGTCACGTGGTCTAGAAATTAGGAACAGCAGTAGGGTTAGTTTATGTACTGAGGGCAGGGTGTTACCGAATGGACACTGAGCGATGCTCTCAAAACTTACACGCTGTACAGTTGACGACTCTCCGCCAGACCTTTCTCTTTTAGTTTTCTCTGTCTCAGGGTGAATGTTGGCAGTCTATTTAGAACGAAAGCGTGTTGTAAATGCTATTAGAAAAAAATCAGTCATGCCGTTGAGTAATTAATACGAATGAGATTCTTATTAAAGGAATCATTGAGTAAGAAATAATACATATTTGAGCGTTGTTTATTGTTTTTTTCCTCGGGGGTTGATATCTTAACACAGCCTTTAAAAAATAGGACGTTTTTATGTTTAGTCAAATTTAGCATTTGATATTCACATCAAAACTAAAGCTATGCAACTACCCATCTTGTGCTAATTAATTTTTACTTTAAACGGACATAATTGTCAATATTTACCGTGAGATTGTGTTGGTATAGCCTAAAAGAGCAGTTTCACTATGCCGTCATATGAAAAAAGGGAAATGTAGTGCTATCACGAGGTTATTATCATTATTCATTTTGATTTGTATCCCGAATTAACCCTCTATGGTTCTAAGAAACATTTGTAGAATTTAATATACACTTATAATTTATACACACAGCCATGAAAAAACTAAAGAGACCTTTTGAAAATACTCAGTTTCACTAGGTTTTTAATAAAATGTTAATATGTATTTTATTACATATTATATACCATTATTTAGTAAAAGTGAAATTTATTTACAATATAATTAAATTAATAATATTAATAATACAAATAATATAATATAGACACCCCTTCTCAGGAAAATGACAATTAAAAATCAAAGATATTCCACCAAATATAGAGTTGATTTTTTTAAACTCTTTGGAATTAAAAACTTTTGTATTGTGTAAAAAATAATTGTAAATGTTTGAAAACATGGCTTTTTGTGAATTTATGCAAAAATGCTTTAAATCGCTAAATTTGTAGACAAATACATTTCTTTAGTAGTTTACAGATTAAAATAAATATTCAGTTTTACTCAAAATGTCTAATTTTTTCAAAATAATTTTGAAAAGTCTGAACTAAATGTATTTATATTTTCTAATTATTATTTATTTTTGCATGCAACTTAACATCAAAATGGCTTGGCTAAATATTTTGCATCTGATTTTAAGAATACTGTATTTCTGTCAGCTGAATGAGTATCCCCGTGAAAGCATCAGTGAGTGATTAATGTGCATGGGAGTACAGGGTCTTTTTTCCTTAGAAAAACATTTGCTTGTATAATTGGTCATGGGCAAGAGGGGTGTCTGCTAATAAACAACAAAACCAAAGGAGGTTGATGGGGAAGCCAGAACACACCCCCCCCCCCCCCCCCTCCCTCCCTCGTCCTACATTTTTCTCCCGCTTTCCCTCTCATACCTGAAATTGTCCCAAATATTTTCACAATCCTCCTAATATCTGCTTATCCTTCAGAGAGCCAATCTTTTCACACCACATATACTGTGGTAATACAGCGCCTTGTATTGTGATTTTGCATGAAATTATCGGGTGAGGATGCTCTCATCTCTTGTCGGCTTGCTGTATTTCTCAGAAGAGCATTATGTGCAGTTGGTTCTACACTAGTGCATTGTCTGTACCCGGCGGCAGATAGTCAGTGACATCACAATGGCTTCATAGTAAAACCTCCGACCGACCCGCCACCCTGGAACCAGCATAACCCCATACTGCCACAGTCATTAGCTCAGATGTCTGTGTGCAGTCAGAGTGTTTAGCATGCATGCTGTGTCTTTTCTTCCAGCATTAGTCCTCTTTTATAAGCGTTGAGTAGAGGAATGAACGCTTGGGAAGATTTTTACAGCTGGCCAGAGTGCAAAATTGATTTTGCTGTTTTTTAGGGCTTTTAAAACAGAGGGAAATGAAAACAGAAATAATGCTTGACATAGTGCTCAGCATATATGAGAACACCACCCACAAATCTCTCATTTAAATTAATATTTTCCATAGGAATCTTTACAATATTATATTTGTGCATATAAATTAGTTTAATCAGTACTGAAGCTAAATCTGCAGCTTATCTAACAAAATAACTTACAATAATGGTTAAAAAAACTAGTACACCCAAATGTATATGTTAGGGGAAAATATTAAATAAAATGTTAAAAAATAGCCAAAATCAA